GCTGGTTTCAGCCCCCCCTGACGGAAACCACCACGTGTTATTTCACTGTCCCATTCGCGGCCGTTTTGTGGAGATGTCTCAAGCGGTTTGCCTGTTTCCTGTCCCAACATCCTTCGCTGTCGGAGCAGATTTGGAGGATGTCTCAAGCGAGGCGCTCATTCTCACCCCCCATAGGGGGAACCGCCAGGGCTTATCTCACGGTCCCGTTCGGGGCCGTGTTGTTGGGATGTCTCAAGCGGTGTCCCTGTTATCTGTTCCAACAGCCTTCGCTTTCGGAACAGATTTGGAGGATGTCTCGAGCGTGGAATGGGAAGTGCGCGCGAATGAGGGGGGGAAGGGGCAATGCGGCGAGGAGGAGGAGGATGAGGCGGAAGGCGTGGATGACACGGGGAAAGGGAGGGGAGGGATAACGAGGGCGGTTGAGGGGGGCGAGGGAGTGGGAGAACACCAGGACGACGAAGGCGAAGGAGGATGAGAAGGAGGAGGAGGATAACAGGAGAAAAGGGGGGTAACGTGAGGAGGCAGGGGATTAATATGATGGCGAAGTGGGGTGACGGGGGGTAGAAGATAACAAAGAGGAGGGGTCATGCCGCATTCAATTTCCTCTGGCCCTTTCCGGCCGTTTTGCTGCGATTTGGGCGGTTCTTCGGGTGGTGCCGAGCGCTCTAATACCCAGAAGGGCGAGAGCGTGACGTTCCTTTTCTTTTTCTTGTGTCTGATCAGTTTGATGGCGCCCGAAAAGCATCCTCGCTGACAGCGCGCGGTATTTTTTGGGAGCTCTTGGATTGTCCTCGGGTTGGTGTGAATCATTTTGGGCCGCATGGGCCGTCGCATCGTGATTGTCTCTATGAAAAATGATCACCTTCAGCGGTGTCGGCCGTCGTTGGGGGCAGTGTGCGCCGCCATGGCAGTTCGCATCAATGCAGAGGACGTTTGAATGACATAGGGCCGATGGGGGGGGGGGGACGGCATATTTGGGAGCAGTTGCGACGATTGGTATGGCCGGGCCGCCCTCATTCTAAATATGCGACGTGCTCGTTTTCTTTGTTTCTTCCAGGGCGTGCTGTCAGCAGGGGGAACGCCGCGCGCCTGGATGCCCCGATGGGAGCTCACGGATTGGATTTTACAGTGCGACGGTGGCCCCAGTCCGTTATCACCGCGTGATGTTCGCCCCGCGCGGATGGCGTTGCATGTCAGACGGGTAATCCCCATCGAGGGTTTGGTGCAGTTTGCATGTTCGCCATATCCTAAGATGGTTTTTTGTTATTACGTGGACGCCTCCTACTCCTTCTCACTCTTCTCCTGCCCTCTCCTCCTCATGCCCCGACTTACTCATATACAGACTGACTCACACTCAGACTAACTCAGACACATATTCACACACAAATACCTACTCATACTCATACCTACTCATACTCAGACCTGCTCCGACTCAGACTTACTCATGCTGAGACTCACGCGCGCCCCGTTCGCGGTCGTTTCGTGGGGATGCCTCAAGCGGTTTGCTTGTTTTCTGTCCCAGCATATTTCGCTATCGGAGCTGATTTAGAGGATGTCTCGAGCGAGGCGCTAATTTTCACCCCCCTTAGGGGAGCAACCAATGGTTATCTCACGGTCCCCTTCGCGGCCGTTCTGTGGGGATGTCTCCAGCGGCTTGCCTGTTTTCTGTTTCAACATCCTTCGCTTTCGGAGCAGATTTGGAGGATGTCTAGAGCGAGGCGCTCATTTTCACGTCCCTAAGGAGCCGCCGAGGGGTTATCTCACGGTCCCGTTCGCGGCCGTTTTGTGGGGATGTCTCAAGCGGGTTTGCCTGTTAGTTGTGCCGACATCATTCGCTTCCGGAGCAGATTTGGAGGATGTCTCGAGCGAGGCGCTCATTGTCACCCCCCTAAGGGGATTCAAATATTCACTGCGTGGGGCTCCCCATATGCGCATTTATTCCCATGGACCTGTCCGCCGTGAGAATCTAGGCGCAAAAACTTTCGAGTATAAACGGGTTTCAGTTGTGACGGTCTGGTCATGAATCTAACTGAGAATCAATTGGAGTGTGAATGAGCCTCAGTAGTACGAGCGCGTCTCTGCGCATGTCCCTGGGTCCTCCTGGGGCCTCCTGGGGCCTCCTGGGGACCTACTGGGGCTTCTTGGGGCCTCCAGGAGCCTCTTTGGGCCCCCTGGGGCCTCCTGGGACCTCCTAGGGAGGATTCGTGCCCGAGGAGAGGCCCAATCTATAGCAACAGTCGTACATAAAACATTGCGACTTGGAGCCGCAGAAAAAAAAGGGACAATCTATAGGAACACGCGTACAACACCAAGGAGTCGTGCCCTAGGAGAGGCCCTATAGGAACATAAGTACACAGGATATGGACAATCTATAGAAACATACGTATAACATCAAGGATTCGTGCCCCAGGTGAGGCCCAATATATGAGAGCATACGTAAAACACATGGGATTGGAACCACCCCTGTTGCCTTCTGAGGCCTCCTGCTCCTGGGGCCTCTCGGGGCCTCCTGTTGCCCTCCGGAGACCTCCTGGCGCTTCCTCTGGCCTCCTGGGGCCTCCTGTGGCTTCCTGAAGCCTCCAGGAGCTTCCTGGGGCCTCCTAGAGCCTCTTGGGGCATCCTGTGGCCTCTTGGGTCTTTCTGTGGCATCCTGATTCATCCTGGGACCTCATGTGGTCTCCACGGGCCTCCTGGAACCTGTTGGAGCCTCCTGTGGCATCCCCAGGAAAACCAGCGCCCACGAGTCTGGCCACCGATCGAGACATCCTCAAAATCTGGCCCACCTGGGGGGGTGAAGTGGAGCGCCTCGCTCGAGACATCCTCCAAATCTACTCCGAGAGCGAAGGATGCTGGGACAGAAAACAAGCACACCGCTTGAGACATCCCCACAAAACGGCTGCGAACGGGACCGTGAGAGAACCATTGGCGGCTCCCCTTAAGGTGGTGAATATGAGCGCCCCCCGCCAGTCCTCCTGCCAAGGGAACCTGGCTGTGGTTTTCGGCGACGCACCAGCGCCCTTGGCTAACAGCGTTGCAACGCACGCGCTGCATTACGCGGAAGTAGTAAGATGATATGTTTCTGACCTGATGCGTGGGCGCGCACGGCGCGGGCCTACATGGCGCGTCGAAGGCGCCTGACACACGCCCGCGATACTATTCACGACCGAAATCGGAAAATTAGCTCCGGCGGCGCACATGCGGTGGGACACGCGTGCGTTCGGCATCACCCGCGCGAGGTGGCTAACAATTTCGCGGCGTTGCGCTAAAAATGCCATTGTGCCCAACATCGTTTCGAAGCGCGCTGCGGTGCGCCGCGCAAGCGCGCGTGGACTGCGGCCTGCGTGCGGCCCGCGCACTATTACGAGCGATTGAATCTGAAAGGGCCAGGCGCGGCACGTGCGCCATGAAAACGCGGCACACGGCAAAAGCAGTTACGAGAAGGAAACTCGCGCGATTCGCGTGCCTCCGTCGACCGAAATCGCTAAATCAGGGCAAGCGATCGGCGACGACCGCGTTTGACGCCACCAATAAATACATGAAAAAATGCAAAAACAAATTTGTCGAGGCCCTCGTTTTGTTTCCTGGTGGGCGCAACACCTGAGACTTCGGAAACCTGGGGCCACGACGGGCCACGATGGGCTGTTGGACAAATCGTATAGAAGCCTCACGGACAAAGCTGCGCAGGGAAACGCCACGCAGTCGGAGCTCGATCCCCTGGCTCCTATAGAGGCCGTTGTTCTGCACTCCGGATGTTTAATTGCATGGGGGGCGGAAAAGCGAGGGCATGATAGCCACACCACCGAAGTCCTCACACCCTCGACGCTTGAGTGGTTCTGGGGCATGAGCTCGGCCTCCAACTGCCGCTCGGGACAATCCGGGCACCCCCGGAAAGCTCTGGGCGAGGCGATGCTGCTGGAGAGCACTCCCAGGCGAGAAAACGTCCGAGAAGAACCAACGTCGGAGGGGCGCTGGGGGGAGCAGCGTCGGGGCCTGGGGACAGTCAGCACCCTCCTACCCAAGCACCCTCCCGCCCAGACATCCGACGTCCTGATCGTTTCACAACGTGGCTCCGTATAGAGGTCTGGACTTCTTCCCTATGCCCTAGGGCCAGCTTTTCATCCCGAGAATTTTGAGGAGGCCGAGAATGAGCACGAGTCGGCCGTCGCAATTTGTTTGCAGCGAGAGCATATCAGGGTAGTCCTCGCGGCTGGGGGGTCTGCATTGGATACGCTCTGAACAAATCTGTCATGAGGGGGTAACCAGGGCAATTGAGCTCAGTATCGGTCCCCAGATCCCTCCTCGGGTCGAAACTGACAAGTTTTTCGTGCTGCGTCCAGCCGTGGAGACGAGAAGGCCCTTTCTCTCCCTTTCAGCTGGCGGGAACCAGTGCTGAGTCACCTCAGCGCCCCAGCCAGCTCCAAACTGTACTTGCATGAGGGGGGGGGCGTGGCGAGAGGCCGGAAAAGAACTCTGGACTTCATGCGCAAGCCGGGACTCACTTGCACGCATTTCCGGCCCAGCGTTGCTCAGGAGGGGGCGGATGGGGAGGAAGCGGGGATGGGAACTGCCATGCAAGCAAACTTGCCAGGGCCTCAGCAACTAAACTCAGCCAGGGACAACTCTGCCAGGCTCAGCTGGCCGAGTTCCGCCTGGCCGAGTTTTTCTCTGGCGGCGAGCAAAGGAGGGGGTAAGGGGAGGGGGGAAGGCTTCTTAGAAGGAGGCTGCTTCTCAGAAGGCGCCGGCATTGCATCTATAGACCTGATGCCCGCGCCTTCTAAGAACTAGCCTCCCTCCAAGAAGCATTCATTCCCCCCTCCTCCTACCCCCTCTGCGCGTGGCCGATTTCCCTATGTATCGGGCGCCGCGGACTTCTCAGAGCGTTCGGGTACGCTCTGAGAGCGTTCTGGAACGCTCTGGAACGGATTCATCCTCGTCCCAGCCCCGCCCGAAGTCTTCCCCTCGTCTAGCACAAGAGGCCCTCTGGGATGCCCCCCCCGAGCCTGTCCCTCGCCCTCCTCCGGCGGCTCGAGCCCGAACCGGCTGGGCCTCCGCGGGGGCGCGGGGGTGCGTGGGAGGGCGCCGCCGCCGAGGGGCGCCCACGGGCCGCCACAGGACGGATCGGCTCGGATCGGCCGTCCTCGGAAGTGCGCGTCCTCGCGAGCGGCTGCGTGGGGGGGCGCGGCAACGATGAGCACCACAGCCCAGGCCACAGGAAGGAGGGAGGGAGAAGGACAGGAGAGGCGGAGGCAGAGGTGGACTGACGCTTCGTGCTCGCGCCCGCGGTCTGCCCGAGAAACGGATGCAGAGGAGGAGGAGGAGGCGGAGGAGGAGGAGGAGGCGGAGGAGGAGGAGGAGGAAGGGAGGACCGCCCGCGAGGCCGCTCGCCCACGAGGCGATCTACCGTAGACTCAGGTAGGTTTGCCTCATGGCATTCCCCTGCCCCCCTCCCCCTCCAGTCCCCCTCGTTGTCATTCTCGGCGGCACTCGCCGGGCCCCAGGACCGCAGCAAAAACGACTCGGGATGAAAACCAATTCCAAATAATGCATCGCGTCCTCATGGAGTCCGCGACGTGAAGGAAAACAACGCTGGGGGTCAGGGTTATCGCATTTCGCCCCCTCCCCCCCCGCCCCGCATCCAACAGTATTGGGCCGAACAAAAGGCGTGCAAGTGTATGCAGTCATGTGTGAAGTCGGGATTCCCTGTCAGGCCTCGCCAAGCCCCCCCTCCCCCCTCCCCCTCCATGCAAGTACAATCGCCGGAGTCTGGAAGGGAAGTCGACCTCATACATAATCTACCTCCACGCTCCTCGGGCCAGACTTCCGACGTGCTGTGACATGTTCAATCGCGATGGTCTCCCTTCATTTTGACCTCTGGGGCTGGTGTGAGGCCCTGGGGTCATCAACACAAGTGGTCCAAGACGCAAAACGACCACCAGGGAAGGGTCGGACGACCTGGGGCCGCAGATAAATCAGAAAACCATATCGGAAGACGTCCTGAAGCGAGGGGTAGCGACACAGCTCGCGGGAAGCGTCAATATATCGAGGGAAAGCGCCCGGCGTCGGCGCCGAGACCAACTGCATGCAGCAGATGTCGTAGCCCCCCTTTCCGTCTCCCCCCCCGTTCGCGCGACCCAGCATTCCCCGCCCTTGGTCTCCTTCGACTCGGACGTCGCACCCTCTGGCAATCAGAAATCGAAAAAAGGTCCAGGGACCCCTGGCCTTGGTGCCGGCCCGAAACACAAAAAGATGGTGGGGGGCTCGACGCGACCACTCTGGCAAGCTCGAAGAGCGCACTGAGGAAAGGGGGTCCGCACATGTTCCCTCTCCGCCTTCTCTTCCTCTCATTTTTCGCCGGAGCTTGGGTCAGCGGAAGCTAAGGTTTAGCCTCCTCTTCCTCCTCCCCCCTCCCCGCCCTTGCTCCTCTCGCCTCCCCTCCTCCAGAGCCTCCTCCACCTGGTCCTACTCCGCCCCCTCCCTCAACACAACCTTCTCCTCCTCCTCCTCCTCCTCCTCGAAGCTAGGGGATTGTGGAGTCCCTCGTCGTTTTGATATGTTTCTTATCGAGTGGAACGCTCCTTCGTCTTTATAAACTTTGATGTGTTTGCCATTTCTTCTGTTCGCCGTGATCCCCTCATCATATGCTTCTCTCGGTCTATATTTATCTCTCTCTCTCTCTCTTTGTCTCTTTATTTGTCTATCTCCTGTACCAGGCCAATGCATGCCAATGCGATACCAATCACTTGCCAACCAATGCCAATGCCAATGCAATGTGAATGGGGGAATCCTTTCGCTCGGTGGATTTCAATCATAATCCATTGTGGACGGCGTCATTGCGAATCCTTCTTCGGAGGTTTTCAAGAGGAATGCCTCTCTGGAGGGTTTCGATAGGGATCCTCCTGTGGAGGGCTTCGCTAGGAATCCTTCTTGTGGGGGGTTCAGTAAGAGTCCTTCTGCAGAGGGAGCCATTAGGACTCGCCAGCGCAATGCCAACGCAATGCCGAAGCAGTGTTATCGCAATGCCAAACCAATGCCAACGCGATCCCAATCCAATGCCAATGCAGTGCCAATGGGGGGGAGCCTTTGTGGTAGATGTTGAAACGAATCCTATTTCTGGAGGGTTTCAATCGGATTCGTTGTGCGAAAGGAGGCACAAGGACTCGCTAGCGCAATGCCAGCGCAATGCCAAAGAAGTGACCAATCCTATGCCAATGGGGGAATCCTTTCGCTCGGTGGAATCCAATAAGAATCCTTTGTGGACGGTGTCAGTACGAATCCTTCTTCGGAGGTTTTCAAGAGGAATGCCTCTTTTGAAGGTTTCGATAAGGATCCTCCTGTGGAGGGTTTCACTAGGAATCCTTCTTGTGGGGGGGTTCAGTAGGAGTCCTTCTGCAGAGAGAGGCATGAGGACTCGACAGCGCAATGCCAACGCAATGCCGAAGCAGTGCTATCATAATGCCAAACCAATGCCAAGGCGGTCCTAATCCAATGCCAATGCAATGCCAACGGGGGGGGACCCTTTGTTATGTATTCCCACAGGAATCTTGCTTGTGGAGGGTTTCAATAGGAGTCGTTCTGCGAAGGGGGGCATTAGGACTCGCCAGCGCAATGCCAACGCAGTGCCGACGGAATGCCAAACCAACACCAAGGCGATCCAAGCTTAATGCCAATGCAACGCCAATGGGGTAGATTGCTTGTGGTAGCGTTCAATAGCAGTTCTTCTAAGGACCCTTCTGTGGATGATGTCATCCACAAAGGAATTCTTCTGGGGACTCTTCTTCGGAGGATTTCAATAGGCATCCTTCTGTGGAGGGATTCGCATGGTGGAACCCTTCTGTGGAGAATTGCATTGTGAATCCTTATCGTGGGGGGGGGTCCGTAGGCATCATTCTTGTGCACGTATTCAAACGGAATCCTTATGTGGAGCGTTTGGTTGGAACTCGCCAACGCAATGCCATCGCAATGCCAACGCACTGCCATCACAATGCCAACGCAATACCAATGCGATGCCGAACCGTTACCAAAACACTGCCTGTGCAATGCCGATGGCATGATACCAATCTTTCAACATATTCCAACAATAATCCTTCTGTGGATGATTTGGTTGCGGATCCCTCTCCGGAGGATGTCTATCGGAATCTTCTTGTGGAGGGTTTCGGCGGGATTTTTTCTGTGGAAGGTTTGACCATGAACCCTGCATGTGGGGGCTTTCAAAAGGAACCCTTCGTGTGGAAGGTTTCACTAGGAATCCTTATGTGGTGGGAGCCATTAGAACTCGCCAGTGCAACGCCAAAGCAGTGCCAGCGCGATGCCAAACCACTGCCATGGCATTCCCAATCCAATCCCACTGAAATGCCTGGGGGAAACCGCTTGTGGTCGGTTTCAATACACGCCCATGCAAGAAACAAATGGTTTTTTTCTACACACCTCCCCTCCCGCAATTTCAATGTTCAATGCGGTGCCGATTTTTTTTCGAACTTCGCTGGTCGCGCGATCAACATTGAAATGGGGGGCCGGGGGGCTCACCAAACACCAATTGCTTTTCGCACGAGGTTGTAGACCCTCCGCACTCCCGCAAAAATCGCCAGAACCCTGCCAACCCTCCGAAAACCTCGGCACTCTACAAAAAATCATCTTCATCATCCCCACCATCCCCACCATCACCGTCAGCATCAGAATCAGCATCATCATCATCATCGTCGTCATCATCATCGTCGTCATCATCGTCATCATTGTCATCGTCATCATCGTCAGCATCGTCAGCATCATCATCATCATCATCATCATCATCATCATCATCATCATCATCATCATCATCATCAACATCATCATCATCATCAGAATCAGGATCATCATAATCAACATCATCATAGTCATCATGATCATCATCATGATCATCATCATGATCATCATCATGATCATCATCATCATCATCATCATCATCATCATCATCATCATCATCATCATCATCATCATCATTCTCGCAATCCTCATCGTCCTCGACCTCGGCCTCCTCCATCCTGCCCTTCGCGAGTTCACAAGCTTGCACCCCCCCTTTGTTTTCTTCTTCCTCCTCCTCCTCCTCCTCCTCGTCCTCCTCCTCTTACCTCTCCTCGCACGCCTCGTCCTCCTTCCTTTTCTCGTCCTCGTCCTCGGCCTCCCCCATCCTCCTCCTCGTCTTCAACATTCTCTTCGTCCTCCGCGTCCTCGTCCTCGTCCTCGTCCTCGTCCTCGTCCTCCTATCCCCCCCCAAATCGCCAGTACCCCCCCCCGACACTGCCAAAACCTCGGCACTCCCCAAAACATCATCCCCATCATCATCCCCATCAGCACCAGCATCATTCCCATCATCATCATCATCATCATCATCATCATCATCATCATCATCATCATCATCATCATTATCATCATTATCATTATCATTATCATTATCATTATCATTATCATCATCATCATCATCATCATCATCAACAAAAACATCATCATCATCATCATCGTCATCGTCGTCGTCATCGTCGTCTTCACCACCACCACCACCACCACCACCACCATCATCATCATCATCATCATCACATCACCATCATCAGCAATCGTCATCGGACTCATCCATCCTGCCGTTTCTCGTACTCGTCCTCGGCCTCCCCCTCCTCCTCGTGCTCCTCTTCCTCCTCGTCCTCTTCGGCCTCCTCGTCCTCGTCCTCGGCCTCCTCCTCCTTCTCCTTCTCCTCCACCTCCTCCTCCCCTTAATCCTCGTCTTCCCGTCGCAATGTCACGCATCCTGTGCCCTTAAAAGCACCCCCCCGTGCAAAAAGCAAATGGTGTTTTTTCTACAAAGCTCCCCTTCCACCCCTCAATTTCAATGTTCAATGCGGTGCCGATTTTCTTTTCGAACTTAGCCGGTCGCGCGATCAACTTTGAAATGGTGGGCCGGGGACTCACCAAACAGGAATTGCTTTTCTCAAGGGGTTGTAGGATTCCTTCTGTGGAGTGCTTCGAATGGGTTCAATATGAACCCTTCTTGTGGAATGCTTCAATCGGAATCCTTCCTG